ACCACAATTAAATCGTCTTTTCCACATAGCTTGCAATATCCGGAAAACACAACAAAGGCAGCCACCCCCCCAAAAAAAAAAAAAAAAAAAAAAAAAAAAAAAAAAAAAAAAAAAAGGAAAAAAAAAAAAATAAATAAAAAACAAGAAAAACAAAAAAAAGAGAAATTCCCCCAAAATTGTAAAATATAAATCAAATGATTTCAAGCCGCAAAAGAAGCAATGAAATATAGGTCTATACCCCGGAAAAAGCGAAACTTTTACCATTACGACATAAACTAACTGGTATGACATTCATAAAGCCCATCTGAGATTTTTATTGATCATATTTCTTGGATGTTTTGTGTACATTTATGTGGAGTCGCGACTGAAATATAATATGCCTTACAAGTATGACGTACCTTTGAAAAATACCTTTCGTATACAAATTTCGAACACCCTACAAATTTCAACAAAAAAAAAAAAAAAATCGGTATATTTTAATTCTAACCCAATGCGAATTTTAGAAACGATCATCCAGTTAAGTATTTTTTCTATATTCTTTTTTTTGCACACGTTTTGACAAATAATCTATCGTATATGTATCCTTTTCAGTAATCTTCAAAAGAACTTGTATTAATTATCGGTAAGGTTTGGAGAATTGATTTCATGCAGAACTATGATAAAAACTTATTACAGCTGTTTCAAATGTTTCAAAAAAAAAAAATAAAATAAAAAGTTTTCTTTTTCTGAATGAATTTCGCCAAATGAAAACTGAAAATCCTAAAGTTTTCGTTTTGAGACACTTAAATAATAAAAATAATTTTCCAACTTTATTGTAAAAATATTGTTTATTGAGTCTGTTACATTGACATTGATCGCTAAATTTAGAGTTTCATTTAGCACTAAATGTCTGAATTAATCGCCAATAACAATACATTTGAAATAGTCTGGATTATCCAGCCACAAAATTGCAAAATGTCTCAATATTGTAAAGTGAGAATTTTATTCAACTTTATGAGCTGTAGCTCTTTTCTTTTTAAGATCTGCTTTCCTTTCTTTTTGCTCCTTTACACGTTTGGCAAGCAGGATTGCATATTCTTCTTCTGCCGCTTTGGCTGCCTGAGCTCTTCTACGCTTAAGAGCGATGCGATGACGTTTTCGCTGTAAGGTAAGAGGAGTTACAAGGCGTTGAATTTTGGGAGCTTTTGTATAAGACTTCTTGCCTTCTTTTTTTGGTTGAACTTCACGGCGGATGACAAATTTACGGACATCGTCCTCCTTAGATAGGTTCTATATCAAATGAAAAAATAATAATAATCATAAATAATTTCAAGCCAAAATAAATCTTAAACTCCATGAATAAACGTACAAAAAACTTGCGAATTTTTGAGGCTCTCTTGGGACCCAAACGTTTGGGAACGGCATTATCAGTTAGTCCCGGAATATCCTGTTCGCCCTGTTTAACTACGACTAAAGACAATACAGAAAGGTCACTCCCGACGATACACCCACGAACGGATTTCCTTTTACGTTCACCAGTGCGACGAGGCCTGTAACATGAATGCCCCTTGGATAACAAGAGCCGTACACGATCGTTGCGTAAGACACCTTGCTTCATAGGAAAGCCTTGTTTGTCATTTCCTCCAGAAATTCGGAACACGTAGCCCTTAAATTCATCTCCGATAGAATCTCCAGGAACCTCAGCGCTGATTCTTTTGTCATAAAAGACACGTCTATTCAAGAGTTGCACCAAAAAACAAATATGATCCAAATCAGCATGTTTGTCGAGTATTTTAAATTCCTTTATAAAGTAAATTTATTTGCTGCTTTGCATGATTTAATAAATGACCAATTGATATTCTTAACAATTTATTCGTAAGTCAAAAAAATATCAATTAAATGTTGAAAAAGTAATCTAATGTCTAATAAATGATACGCTTTTCTTTGGTACCCACAATCTTCGTTCATCATCAATATCGATCAATTTTTGGCAACCAGTGGCCGGATTGGCGATATTCAACTAAAAACAGATATTACGTTAGGTTACTGATTATTTTGAAATTTTAATTCGAATAGGAAAATGGATGGTATATATCAAAATCTAGTTTAGTTTATATAATGCACCAGTATGCCATTGAGCGAGATAAAAATGCTCCAAACTGTCTGTTTGTTGTTTTATATAAAGATCTTTCAACGCTTTGATAATGTTGCCACCATGCCATGATTACCTTCATATCGAATAAGCGTTCTTTGATCCGTTGGCCAAATTGAAGAGAAGGATCTGTTTAATTTAAATTAGATGCTTTTTATTTTTTTTTTTTGTATTGCGTCACATGTTATGTCGATCAATGGCCGGCATTATGAAAAATTGTGTCAATTACGAAGAATATGTCGCCGAAAATATAGTATTTTTTTCTACGTATAAAGATTTATCGTTATAGCGATTTGTTCTTTTTTAAATCGCTATAATATTTTATAAAATTTCTTCAAAAACAGACCAGTAACCTTGTAGAGTTTAGTTCTATGTATAAAGTTATTGGTAAATTTTTTTAAAAAAAAAAGTTTTATATGGTGTTTCAAGTTTTAATTATTTTTTCAAATTATCGGTTAGAATTTTTAAAAAAGTTTTAAGATTTAAAGTTATAAGTATTTGATTTTAAAAATTTTGGTATTAATATCAGTTACAGAACATGTTTTTATAAAATTTAATTTATTTAAAAAAATATATACAAAACTTTCTTGAAATTTTAAATATATATTCTTTACTATTTTATACTTTTT